CCGGCCGAGGGCAAGAAGTTCGTGCGCACGGAATATCGTGTGCTCGGCTGGCAGCTGAAGGATGGCCAGCAAATCACCAGTGACGCGCATCCGGATGTGCATGTCGTGGACACAGACATCTTTAGTGAGCTAACCCTGAACATGTCGGGCACATTCCGATTCTACTTCAGCTTTGCGGATGTGTGAGTACTCTATATATAGGGAATACCATATAAATTTTGGCTAATTTCTCTCGTTGCTCACAGGGAACGCAAGGCGGACTCTCCGCCGGATGGCGCTTTGTATGTACAGGTGGAGCCCACGCTGCATGTGGGTCCCGTGGGTGCCCAGAAGATAATACCCCTCAATTCGGTGCGCTGTCAGACGGTGATGGCCAAGCTGTTGGGCCCGCTGAACACGTGGGAGGCCAAGCTGCGCGTGGCCAAGGAGTCTGGCTACAATGTCATTCATTTTACGCCCATTCAGGAGCTGGGCGGCTCGCGCTCCGGCTACTCGCTGCGCGATCAGCTCAGCGTCAATTCCCAATTTGCGGCGAAGAAGGGTGAAAAGGTCACGTTTGAGGATGTGGAGAAAATCATCAAGAAGTGCCGCCAGGAGTGGGGCGTAAGTGCTTGAGTTAATCCAGTTTCTCGCTTCCAATTATAATGCCTCTATCTAATCCTTAGGTGGCTTCGATTTGTGACATCGTCTTGAATCACACCGCCAATGAGTCAGAGTGGCTGATCAAGCATCCGGATGCGACATACTCGTGCGCAACATGTCCCTATCTGCGTCCAGCTTTCCTGCTGGATGCCATGTTGGCGCAGTGTGGCGCGGACATTGCCGCGGGCAGCTTGGAGCATGTGGGCGTGCCGGCTATCATCGATCAGGAGTGCCATTTGGAAGCTTTAAAGTACCAATTGCATAATGTCTACCTGCCCAAGGTCAATATACACGAACTGTATCAGTGCGATGTGATGAAATATGTGACCGAGTTCATGGCCCAGGTGCGCACTCGAGAGCCACCAAAGAACGTGGCGAATAAGTCGCGATTCCAGGAGATTCAACTGATACAGGACCCGGCATATCGACGCTTGGGTAGCACAATCAATATTGAGCTGGCATTGGAGATCTTTAATGCTTTTCATGGCGACTGTTTCGATGAGGAGTCGCGATTCCGCAAATGCGCCGAGACGCTGCGCCACCATCTCGACGAGCTGAACGAGCGCGTTCGAGCCGAGATCCAAGGCTACCTCACATATGCCATCGACAACTGCCTGGCGGGCGTGCGCTATGAGCGCGTCCAGCACGACGGACCGCGTGTGCGTGAGATCTCGATTAAGCATTCAGTCTTCATGACCTACTTCACGCACACCAACACGGAGGGCAAGACGCTGACGGAGGTGGAGGCGGACATGTACGGCAAGGCGGGCGAGTTCTTCATGGCCCACAATGGCTGGGTCATGGGCTCTTCGGATCCGCTGCTGGACTTTGCCGAGGAGCAGCCAGGTCGTGGAAACGTGTATCTCAAACGTGAGCTCATCTCCTGGGGCGACAGCGTGAAGCTGCGCTTCGGCAAGCGACCCGAGGACAGTCCCTACCTCTGGAAGCACATGACGGACTACGTGGAGACAACAGCGCGCATTTTCGACGGTGTCCGCCTGGACAACTGTCACTCGACGCCTCTGCATGTGGCCGAGTATCTGCTGGATGCAGCCCGCAAAATCAATCCGGAGCTGTATGTCGTCGCCGAGCTATTCACCAACTCCGATGCCACCGACAATGTGTTCGTCAATCGGCTGGGCATTACCTCGCTGATACGCGAAGCTTTGTCGGCCTGGGACTCGCACGAGCAGGGTCGCTTGGTCTATCGCTATGGCGGCGCGCCTGTGGGCGGCTTCTATGCGAATCCCAATCGTGATGTGGCGCCCAGTGTGGCGCATGCTCTGTTCATGGACCTAACACACGACAATCCTTCGCCCGTTGAGAAGCGAAGCGTGTACGATTTGCTGCCCTCCTCGGCGCTGGTGGCGATGGCTTGCTGTGCCACAGGCAGCAACCGCGGCTACGACGAGCTGGTGCCGCATCACGTGAGTTCCAATATGATTGCCACTTAATGAAATGCAATGCCTAAAGCTTGTCAATTGCTTCCCAGATTCATGTGGTCGATGAGGAGCGTCCCTATCAGGAGTGGGGCAAAGCCGTTGACTTCAAGACGGGTATTATTGCTGCCAAGCGCGCTCTGAATCTACTGCACGGCCAGCTGGCAGAGGAGGGCTTCAGCCAGGTGTATGTGGATCAAATGGATCCCAATGTGGTCGCCGTGACGCGTCATTCGCCCATCACACATCAGACGGTCATCCTGGTGGCTCACACAGCCTTCAGCTATCCCCATCCCAATGCTGGACCTACTAATGTACGGCCGCTGCGCTTTGAAGGTGTCCTGGATGAGATCATACTCGAAGCCAACTTGACATTGAAGAGCGACAAGCCGTTCGATCGTCCAGCGCCCTTCAAAAAGGCAGACAACGTGCTCAACGGCTTCACCCAGTTTGAGCTGTCGCTGCAGGAGCACATACCGCTCAGCAAGTCGCAGGTGTTCGAGACGAACCAGTACACCGATGGCTCCAATACGCAGCTCAACTTTGCCAATCTGCGTCCGGGCACTGTGGTGGCCATTCGCGTCTCCATGCGTCCCGATGCGCGCCTCAGCTTCGATCGCCTGCAGCAGGTCACAAATGCGCTGCGCCTCGTGTCGGGTGAGCCGTGCGAGCAGCTCAAGGCGATTGTCTCCAAATTGGACTTGACTGCATTGAGTCGCGCGCTGTTCAGCTGCGACCAGGAGGAACGCGACATGGGCCTGGGCTGCAGCGCTTACGACATACCCAACTTTGGACCCATTGTCTATTGCGGTCTGCAGGGCTTTGTCTCCCTGCTGACGGAGATTTCGCCACGCGACGACCTCGGCCATCCGCTGTGCAACAATTTGCGTGACGGCAACTGGATGATGGGTGAGCTAGAATTCGGGAGTTCAGATTGGTTAACTTAAGTAATATTTATTACTGTTTTTATATGCAGATTACATTGCTGATCGCCTGAACAACTTTAATGATCTAAAGCCTTTGTCCACCTGGTTTAAGGCAACCTTTGAGCCATTGAAGAATGTGCCACGCTACCTCATACCTTGCTACTTTGATGCTATTGTGAGCGGTGTCTACAATATTCTGGTCAATCAGGTGAATCAATTGATGCCCAGGTGAGTGCGGAATAGGAATAAAATATAAATATGTATATATTCATATCCAATTCGATTGCAGTTTTATTCGCGATGGTCACAACTTTACTCAATCCTTGGCCGTGTCCACGCTGCAGTTCCTCGCTGTCTGCAATTCGGCTAATCTGCCAGGCTTTAGCCTTGCTTTGGCGCCGCCAAAGCCGCCCAAGCAGTGCGTTACACTGTCCGCGGGTCTACCTCACTTCTCCACAGGTGAGCGCAAATGATTTCCCTGTTATTTACTTTACTTAAGTACTCCAATTTTCCTTGTAGGTTATATGCGCTGCTGGGGTCGGGACACGTTCATCGCCCTGCGTGGCACAATGCTGCTCACCGGTCGCTTCACAGAGGCGCGTTTTATCATCATTGGCTTTGCGTCGGCCATGCGCCATGGCTTGATCCCGAATCTGTTGGATAATGGCGTGAAGCCGCGCTTCAACTGCCGCGACGCCGTCTGGTGGTGGCTCTACAGCATTGCCCAGTACGTGGAGGAGGCACCGCAGGGCGCTAATATACTCAAGGACCAGGTGTCACGTATTTTCCCGTACGACGATTCTGAGCCGCATCCGCCAGGCGCCTTCGATCAACTGCTGCAGGACGTCATGCAGGAGGCGCTGCAGGTACACTTCCAGGGCCTGCAGTACCGTGAGCGCAATGCCGGCCATGAAATAGACGCTCATATGACGGATCAGGGCTTCAACAATCACATCGGCGTGCATCCAGAGACGGGCTTTGTGTTTGGCGGCAACAGCGCCAATTGCGGCACCTGGATGGACAAGATGGGCTCGTCCGAGAAGGCGGGCAATCGTGGACGACCCAGCACGCCTCGCGATGGCTCGGCCGTGGAGCTGATTGGGCTGCAGTACGCCTCACTGCGTTTCATGCAGAGCCTGAGCGAGCGGAAGATTATTCCGCACAGCGGCGTGGAGCGCAAGGGGCCGTCGGGTGAGGTGACCAAGTGGAGCTACAAGGAGTGGGCCGATCGCATACAGAAGAACTTCGATGCGTATTTCTATGTCAAGGAGACGGACACCACATCGGTGGCCAACAAGAAGTGCATCTACAAGGATAGCTACGGCGCCACACAGGACTGGACCGACTTCCAGCTGCGCTGCAATTTCCCCATCACGCTGACAGTGGCGCCAGAGCTGTGTAATCCGAAGAACGCCTGGAAGGCCCTGGAGCAGGCGCGAAAGCATCTGCTGGGCCCCTTGGGCATGAAGACCCTGGATCCAGATGACTGGAACTACAGAGCCAATTATGACAACTCGAACGACTCCACAGACTGCACGGTGGCGCATGGCGCCAACTATCATCAGGGACCCGAGTGGGTGTGGCCCATCGGTTTCTATCTGCGCGCCCGGCTCATCTTTGCGAAGAAGTGCGGCTACCTGGACGAGACCATTGCCGAGACGTGGGCCATATTGCGGGCGCATTTGCGCGAGATTCAGACATCGCACTGGCGCGGCCTGCCCGAGCTGACCAACGACAATGGCAGCTACTGCCGCGACTCCTGCCGCACGCAGGCCTGGAGCGTGGGCACCGTGCTGGAGGTGCTGCACGATCTGCACAGCCTCGGCGCCGATTGCTAGGCAAATGATCTTAATGCGAACTCAACGAATCTCTCGTTAGCTGAGAAACTATTATTCTAATTGATACACAAAGAAAAAAAAGAAAAAGGAAAGAAAAAAGTAATCCAATTACACACTTAAATGGTAGCTGCTACAAAGGATGGAGTTACGAGTTGTTCAATTTGTTATCCAAGTTGTGGATCATCCATACTCTCTATTAAAGTTATTTTATCTATGCGATCAGTTGCCTTTTGTTTCGATGTGCGAGTCTACGAGAAGTAGCTGTCCCTGGCTATGCGCATCATGGAAGTCTTTGGCTGGCAAATGGGCCCACAATTCTTGAATGCAAAGTCGATATACTCTGAGTCCAGCTGCTGGCTGCTGGGCTTGGGCTCCACATTGAAGCCATCTAAGGTTGCGGGCGGATCTCGATCCTCAATGGACATTCGCCGATTATCCGTTGCTTTTGCGATCTTAAATTTTTGTTTGAATTTCCACGCTTTTATCTAGCAATCAATAGGAATCGAATTAATTATGCTCCAAAGCAATTTATGTTACACTTACGATGCGGCATTTATATAAAACTTGTGCGGCGGCGGCACAGGTCAGCTCGTAGGCGCTATATAAAACTATCTTTTGAACAACATCCAAAACTATCGACATGCTGCTACCTCTATTTCCAATAGAAACTGTTCAATTTTGATCAGAAATTTGGGTTGGTGCTTAACATTTGGAATAAACAATCACTAATTATTAAACAAGTTTGCGCACAGCACATTGTATGGCAAATTCATTTAAAAATTATACTTGATCAGGTATGTAGATTTAGTATTGATTTAGCCCAAATGTTAAACTAATTCAGCGCATATTTCCAAAAGTCTAACAAATAGCCAAGAAAATTCCAATTAATGTGTTGAAACAAATTCGAATGAATGGAAAATCAAAGCCTGCCTAGAATTTGAATTACATAACGAAAGGCAATCTTTCGTTCAGTTCTTAATATATATATATATTAATACTTAAAACAATATTAGTTTTTTCAATTGAARCAATCGATTCATATAAATAGTTTTCTATATAACTATGTATATATATATATTGCTAGGCATATGGGCGCATCTTCTGCTAGATACTAAATTAATACATTATCTTTCAATATAAATAAGTTAATAATAAAGCTTGTTGGCCCTGTGAACATTAGACTGGAGCTGTACATCTGTCTATACATCTTGTTACATCATCTTCTGATGCACGTAGTGCTTGCAGTTCAGTTCAGCGCACTAGTTAGCCTTTTATCATCTCTATCTCTATCTGTGTGTGTGTCTGTGTGTCTGTGTTTGTGTTGGGTGTCGAGCTCGTTCTCTCGAGATCATCGTCATTAACGGACTTCAGTTCACGTCCCATATTCTCCACTTGCAGGGTGAGTCCGATCAAGCCGCCGCTCTTCACTTCGTTCAGTTTTGGTTCGGGAAGACAATTTTCATTGCCATCGGCGTCACGTTTGACGCGTATCGCCGGCTGTGCCGTCGTCGTCATCTGTTGCTCCTTCAGCTGCAGCAGCTCTCGCCGGATGGCCTCCACGTTGTCAGCATCGATTGATTTGTTGGCCGTCAGCTGAGCAGCTAAGACACTACTGTTGGCTCGTGCCTTGGTTGAATTGGCCAGCAGCGCCAAAGGCAGTGGCAGCCGTTGGGCCAGTGGCGGTGCATCGGCACTCGCATTCCGCAGCAGCTCGCCCGTTTTGTAAGAGAGCGGCTCAAAGACGCCAGCGTGCGCTTCCTGTTCCTCTCGCGCGTGAGCGTTCTCCGTCAGAATTTCCAGCAGTGAAGCGGGCTTCCGTTCCCTTAGCGTGTTGTTGACCTCTTGTTGTGGTTGCAGTTGCAGTTGTGGCTGCTGTTGAGGCTGTAGTTGAGGTTGTGGCTGCTGTTGAGGCTCTGGTTGCGGTTGTGGTTGAGGTTGTGGTTGTGGTTGTGGTTGCTGCTGTGGTTGAGCTGGAGGCTGTGCCTGTTGTTGTGGTTGAGCTGGAGGCAGTGCCTGTTGTTGTGGTTGCATTTGCTGCTCTAGCGGTGCCATCTGTGGCTTCTCTTCTCTTTTGATTTTGTCATCTTGCAGACGATTGGTTTCTTTGACCTGATTTAGGGCTTCAGCCAGTTCATTCAGAGCCAGAGGTTTCGGATTATTGGGGCTTTGATTGGCCAATTGATCGTTGAGCTTGTCGACGCTGCGCTCCAAAAGTTTCATTGTGTCTGCACTCTGTGGCTTTTGTTTGGCCAACTCCTCGTTTAGCTTGTCTACAGTGCGACCCAATCTCTCCATTTTCTCTCTCAGTTCTTTTTCTTGTTTTAGCAAATCGACTACCATTACTTTATCCTTTTGCTCTTCGGCCGTTATTTCTTCCTCCTTTTTGATGGCTGCTCCATCTATGGTCTGCTGTGCAGCTATGTTCATGGGGTGTGAAGCTTCCTCCTTCACGGGAGCCACACTCACTGGAACCACATCCTCTGCTCTTGTCGAGTTTTTCTTGAGAACTATTTTTGCATCTTTTGCAACTGCAACTGGTTGGGGCTCTTCTTTGGGCAGACTTTCAGACTTTTCTGGTGGGGCTTCGTTTTTCGAATCCATGCCATGGGATTCGTCAACAGGCAGTGGTGGCATCGGTGGATTATCGGAAACAGCGATCACAACGTTGGGCTTTTCGACAAGATTTATGTTATCTGCTGCCCGTACACGTTTGTTCTCTTCCAGTTTTCCTAATACTTCTTTGACTTCAGCCTCGTTGGTTTTCACTAAGCGTTTGATTACTTCGGAGTTTTGTATATTGGGAACCTCGACGGGTGGTGGGATATCGTTGGTTAACAATGGTGTAACCACTTGCACTGCATCGAACTGGGGACCAGAGCTCTGGGCATCGATGGCGTGCAGGTTGGCATACGTGCCCAGAATCATCAGGCAAAACCCGCTGACGAACACAAACTGTGCCAAGGTTCGTTCCGTGGAGTCCTTTCTAATGATCTGGCGAAAGCTCGACGCGGGGAACATTATGCATATGGCAACGCCTATTGTGGAGCCGACTAAGCCAATAATGAGCTCAACAGAGGGAATAATGAGCGCTACACAAAGCGAGAAGAAGACGATGAAGAGTGTTATCACTCGGAAGCGCTGCTCTGGTATATAATTGCTGCTCTCCATGTGACCCTGTTGGGATAGTATAGTAAGTATTTGGGGTATTCATATATATGCATTCACCTCACCTTTTTATACAGCAAGGAGTAAATGCTGGCTCTGCATGGAAATATGACCAGTGGAAAGCTGAATGCAATAGAAAGCACGAATCCAATTTTGATAATATCGCTGCCGAATGAAGGTGACAGATTTACCAAGATGTTACCTGCAATCGATAAGGTGTATAGTATATAGCCTTTAGAGGATCGTAAATATAAAGAATTTACCTGAGAAGCTATGCGTGCAGAAAGCCACATAGCCAAAGAAGCCGACAGCTATGTACACCAGTGTGCAAATCCACGTCGCATTGCGCACAATGCCATTCAATTTGTCCAGACTTTGGTTATTGATACTGCCGAAGACCTCAAAAAGTTGCCTGCAATTAAAGTGAGTTTAATTAAAAATAGAATTCAAGCTGATATCAAAATATAATTACATTTGGCAGGCCAAGGCCATGCTAAAGATAGGCAGGCATTGGAGCACACCTGCTGGCTCCCAGTAGACGACTTTCTCTGTCCAATCGTTGGCCACAATATGCGACTCGGACTCGAGCACAATCTTGAGCATGAGGCACACATAGAATCCAATGGAGGCAGTACAGACAGCCGACAAGCTGTCCACATTGCGCAGCATGCCCAGCGGCACAATGCAAAGGGCGGTGATAGCGAACATGACCAAGGTGCGTAAATGTTGGTACTCTGTGATCTCCAATCCTAAGAGCTTGGCCACAATCTGTGGTCCCAGATCGCCAACGACGACAAAGTACGTTATGCACGTGCCAATCAGATAACCGATGATGCAGAGTTCCGCCAGAAGTTTGCCGGATGTGCCGAAAGCGTGAAGACCAAGCATTTCGAAGCTTTTGCGACGTGTCAGCAATGAAGTTTTAATCAGATAGTGACAACAAATGCGTGTTATCCAATTGCTGAGTATGAGCAATACAATCGACAAGATAATTCCGCATTTCTGGAAGCAGAAAGGCATCGCCAAGATGCCGACACCTATTATGCTATTCGCAAGCGTCATAACATGGCCCGAATGCGAGAACATGATGCAATTCGCTTTCACCTCGGTTGGTTTGCTAATGAACAGAGCGAAGTTGCTAAATAAGTAGAAGAGCTAATTTTTTTTTGTTAGCTGCGAAACCAGGTATCTGTGTGCGTAGGCAAAACAATAGAAACAAAGAGATAGCTTCACACAACGCAGCGCTGGGGCAAACACACTTACATACCTGGGGGCCGATTGTTATCACAAGCAAAAGAAGGCGCCAGTTGTTCAAGCAGAAACAAATTATTGAAATCGAAGGCAGCTGGTGTTTGAATTTGGCTGGTTGACGAATAGTGTGACGAAACGCATTTAATACTATTTCATTTGAAAATTTCGCTGCGCAATTGTGCACATTTTACGTTTGTGGTACTCGGCTGTCTTTTAAAACATAATATTGGTAACGTCAGCATTGTTTGGGTTTCTGCTCGTCCAATTCTGCACAGCTGATACTGTTGTGGATGTGAGCGTGACGATATGATGTTATACGAGTAACGTTAATAGTGAAACCAATTTAAAAAGTATTTGTTACTTTGTTACCACATATTTATAATTCTATTAATTAAACTTAAGTTGAAATACTATAGTGAGGTATTTGATTATTGTAAATAATTTGTTAAGAGATTTCAAATATTTTACACGCTTAATTCTACAATTTTAGTTATAATAGAATAAGAATAATTGAACGCATCTCTGGTGTATGGCAATGTGACCAGACGGAATGGTAAAACAAAACTCTGGCATCTCCAATATTTTGAGTCCGGTGGCAACGCTGCTCGTCATGTTTCTTTCCGTTCCGTAGACTGCAATCGTCAAGATGGCCGATGTAATTTTTGTGCAAAAATCTAAAAAAATATTAAACATCCGTGTGCAGAATAGCAAAAGTTTATAATATTTACAATATCTGACGCGCTGCGCATGGTTGACAATATTATTTTAGAGTTTTGAGTAATACATTGTACGCAAAATTGACAGCAAAAAACTGTGCTAATAAATGCCAATTGTTTTTCTTTTTATTTTGACACAAACAGCAAGTTGATGAAACTCTTAAGAAGAAGCGTACCTTCAAGAAGTTCACCTACCGTGGTGTGGACTTGGACCAGCTGTTGGATATGCCCAAGTAAGTAACAGTATTCGGCATAAAGCGGCGTCTCAAAACTAACCTAACTGTTTATTCTGTCCCGTTCGTGTGCAGCAACCAGCTGGTGGAGCTGATGCACAGCCGCGCCCGCAGGCGTTTCTCCCGCGGTCTGAAGCGCAAGCCAATGGCCCTGATCAAGAAGCTGCGCAAGGCCAAGAAGGAGGCTCCCCCAAATGAGAAACCAGAGATCGTGAAGACTCATCTGAGGAACATGATCATTGTGCCCGAGATGACCGGCTCCATCATTGGCGTTTACAACGGCAAAGACTTCGGCCAGGTGAGCGACTGTTTTGAGGTTTACAACTGAATGAGATATCTAATTCTTTTTGTTCGAAACAGGTCGAAGTTAAGCCAGAAATGATTGGCCACTACTTGGGTGAATTCGCGTTGACCTACAAGCCTGTTAAGCACGGTCGTCCCGGTATTGGTGCCACCCACAGCTCACGTTTTATTCCCCTCAAGTAAGCGGCGATTCGTCTGCAGCAGAGTCTTCGGCTGCTTGTGTGGCCTGGGGCTGGTTTTTGGATTTTTACGCGTAATAAAGGAAACGTAATTTTTTAAGAACGTAATGTCGCCTTTCAATTACCATTGCCATTACCTATGCCCCAGATAGAGAGAGAGAGAGAGAGAGAGAGAGTAAACAGGAGTGTGTTAACAAATTTACGTTTAATATTTATTGGAACTTGCAAATTGTATATATAATGTATGGATTTATGTGTGGCTGAAGCTATCTTCGCTTTCGCGCGCTGTTGCTGTTGGTAACCACCACACGGTCGTAGGCCGTGTCCTTCATATTCGAGTTCGATTCACGTGCCCCATTGTATACCATCTGCCGTTGCGGATTACTGCTGGCCTGTAGATAACTTGGTTTCAGAGTGTCGTTCACGTCGGCCGATCCGTATGCGCTGTCTTTGACTTGAGAATCATTGTGGAAGTGATTAAAATAATTCGATTGCATTGCAGGAGGCACCGCTGCAGGTGCTACTGGATTAGACAGCACTGGGAGTTGCGCAAGCGATTGGAAGGCATTAGTCAAACCCGTAAAGGTCACCGTCTTGCTCTGATTAGTTTTGTTACCCATATTGCTACTGCCCCCCATGAAGAAGGCGCTGCCATTGGGCACCTGGCTGCTCTGCAGCGGCTGCAGGGGCGGCAGGCTCTGGTTATTGTTGTTAAAAGCGGTGTAGGAGTTGGCGTTGTCAATGGCCGGCATGCTGGCATACATGGCCGTTTGCAGCGAGTCGGATTTGGAGCGCTGGAGAATACTCTTGGTGGACGCCCGGGTGCCGACGCCAATGGAGTTCTTAGCAGGAGTGGAGGCGTGCACAACGTGCGGCTCATCGAGCGAGGTTAGTAGGTTGCTGCTCTGTGACTGGTTTAGAAAGCCGTCGACTTGGAGAAGTGCTGGCTGACCCTTACCTAGGCGGTTCAGCTCCATTTCCATAGAGTTGTAAATGGTCAGATTGCTGGCCAGCATGTCCTGCCTGGAGCCCAGGGTCAGCATGCTGTCCGCATTGTTGAGCGTCGATGTCGAGGCCAGGTTAACGGACTTGGACGAGTGCATGGCCATGCCCATTTCGCTGGGTCCCTGCTGCAGTGCGCCCGTGCGTGGATCGAAGTGCTTCTGTGTGGCATCTTTCAGTGTGCTCTTGATTTCCTTGGGCTTGTCCGGCTGCTGGGGCTGGCGTATGGAGGAGATGTGACCGGGCACTGGCTCACGCGAAACTGACGAAGATGGCGATGCCGAATTGGTCTCCTCGTTCTCCTCCTGCCATAGAGAAGACAATCATTGCGTGCAGGCGAGGATCATCGATGGTGGGCACTTACCTCATCCTCCTCTGTGATAATGGACGACTCTATCCAGTCTTTTATGCGATTCTTTTTCTGCATTCGATCGACATTGGTCTCGATGCCACAGTCAGCCAGTGTGTAGAGCAGGCGATTCTTCTCGTCGGGGCTGCTGTGAAAGGAATACATTGAGGGGCATAGCTCGTCTGTCTCGTACTCGGCCATCTCCTTCTCCGCCGTCTTGGCCAGCCAGCGATCGTCCATGAACTTGGTCAAATCGCCCAAGCTCTTTGGTCTGTTCGCGCTGCGTGGCTCCAGGAAACGTTTAAACATGCGCTGCGCACGTGATGTCAGCAGCTAGACAAAGAGAAAGGATAAACAAATGTTAACAGAGTTATTAGTAATCTCAAATGCCTGTGGATTACCTTAAAAAGTTTGGGTGTTCGCCGCAGCGGCATCATCATTATGCTGCCCTGCCACACCAGATAGCGCACATAGCGTGGATCCTCTGAGGATGCCTTTTGCCAGGGCAGACAGCCCGTCAGGCAGACGAATATAACGATGCCGAACTGCCAGACATCGTGACTGGGATCGGCCCTAGAATGCAAATATAAATATGATTAATTAGTATAGCCTATAAAATTTTCTTTCTGATTTAACTGACTTGTAGGTGCCTTCGGGCTTGACTTCTAATACTTCTGGGGGACTGTAGGGCAGCCATTCGTTGCGCCTTTCCACTACGGTACCAGTTTGATAGGACTCCCCGAAATCACAGAGCTTCACGCGTTGAAAGTCCGAGCGATATATGAGTACATTATCAAGTTTAATGTCGCGATGCACAATGTCTCTGTAAAAAGAGAGAGAGGGAGAGAGAGAGAGGATTTTCATTGGTATAATAAAAACAAGGAGCAAAGAAATACATGAGGACGAATAGCGAGAGTCACTCGAGCAGAGGAATACGTGAGGAGCGAGGAGTCTGGGAATACGTGCGGAGCATACGCAGAGTGACCAGCACAGAGGAGCGAGGAGTACAAGATAGAGCGTAGAGCACAAGAGAGTGAGCAACTCGGGAGCGAGGTGCAGAAAGAGTGAAGATCACAGGAATACCCGAGAGGCACAAGAAGAGTGATGAGTACCATAGGAGCGAACTGGAAGAGCGCCTACTAATCCAACTTCGCATGACGCTCTTATCCCCTATAAATACTTAGCACTACATAGTTCTCTCAAATGATTTAACATTAGTTATGATTAAATTAAAAGCAAATCAATTTTAAACATCGTAAATATAACTAGTAACAATAGCCTAAAGCTATAACTAATTAATACACTTCTGCTTATTATAGTATTAATAACTAATATTAACATCAAAGAAATATACACCATCCACCGAAGAAGAAGAAGAAGCGGAGCAATGCTGTGAAGAACCGACCTCCAAGCGATCCAGAATGCCACTGAAGAAATGCTGCAGCTGACTCCCTTTATATATATCAGAGAGTAGCCAAGATCAGACTTGGAGCCTGCTGTGAGTTCGTTTTTACACCCGAGCCCGAACACTCAATCAGGTGACCAATCAGAGCAGCTCTTACTGCTACGAGCATTCGAGTGTACTCTATACTAACTCTATACTAGCATGAAATGCTGCCTCACAGACACATGCATACTCTACCTGGTCAGCTCTCGTGCTCTTCTCATTTTCTCTATGGGAGTGCATGTTTGATACGTGATGATGTTAAATACTCAATCAATATTAATTGCTCGATCACATAGACAGACATAGAAACATACAGAGGGACAGACAAAAAGGCAGCCATACAGACAGGCATACAGACAGACATACAGAACGACAGACAGACATACGAACATGCAGACAGAAATACAAACATACAGACAGTCAGAATATATATAAATATGTTTTTACTAATACAATAAGTATTA